ACATCCTACAGTATTTTTACAGTCTTTATTTTACAGTTAAAATATAAGTTATAAAGTCTAATGTTACAACTAATCGGGGATCCCTTTAAAGGTTTGCATATCACAAAGGACAATGTTGACTGATGTTATTGTCTCGCCGGTATAACTTCGTCCTTTAATGTTCTGCTGTTGTTAATTGGTGTTTTATAATTCTGCACTGCAGTGATTATTAAAACTCTCAGTTGCCATGGCAGCTGACTCTGCGCTCCTGTTCGGCTCAGCGGCAGCGTTTCTTTAACAAACCCTTGACATTTTCCTCTGAATTGTCCTCTCCTGATGGGCCGGGTCCAGCTGTCTTCTGCTGATTCATTTTCTCATTCAGATAATTTATCTCCATCCGGCTGAAACATGTTATTTATACACATTATAAGTGTATGGATTTAGAAGTAAAGCAGGTCAGATAATTGTTTAGAACTAATATATGTTTATATACTATATATATATATATATATATATATATTGACTCTTTACAGCATCTCCTGTTAAAGTGCCTGTGACATCAAATTTTCGTAATAAAAATGGACAGGTTTTTGGAAAGATAACATTTATAACATATTACAAACCTAATTTCACACTGCTGAGATGAACAGTTGTTGAGATAATTGCATGTGAAGAAACAGGAAGTGATGTCAAAGGGGAATGTCTGCATGTAAACAGCATGTTGCTACAATAACAGACTGTAGAGAAAAATCTGATGTTTCTTTAGATTATTTTGAGTCCCCATCAGAGAGATGAAGAACAAAGTGTAAATATTGTTTCAAAAAGACCAGAGTTGTCTTTCTTTAAGAGTTCCCCTTTGATGTCACTTCCTGTTTCACTTTAGCTGAGCCAAGTTCAAAAGAAAATATGCGATTTTTGTAACAAAATGAGTAAAATCATTTGTATTATGCAAAGTTTCTTACATATAAAGTTGTTTTATTTGACTTTCTGTATTTGAAGTATAAACACATCACAGGCACTTTAAGCTTTCCATACATTTAAACAAGGTGCAATTTTAGTAAAAATGTAAAAGCTGCATTTCAGAACACACTGTTTTTGTACTAAAAGTTATGGATCAAACCATAAAAGCGTTTTTTTTTTTTTTTTCTGACTGCCGTATTTTGATTTTCCTACAGCAGAACAAGATTAACAATGGGAACAATGTATGGTTCAAAACATTTGCAGCACAATAAAACTGTTCTCTGGAAGACTAATTTCTGATGAGATTTTAGTCATTTTCATCCAGCAGGGAAATTTAAAGCTGTTTAATGATTAATGAAAGAATTTAACGTTTAGTTCAATCTACGCTGCTGTTTTCTAGACAAATCTCAGGGGTTTTATTGATCAGCAGTATAAGCAAATGCTAAGGTGGTGTAATAAATGGGGGGGGGGGGCAATAAATATATTTTCTAACTTATTATATACTACGTATTTTAGTACTAATTTTATATTGTTTATTAATCCCAATAATTTAGTAAAATGTTTTTAAATGGCAGGAAAATGCAGAGTTTGGAGTAGACCCTTTGCTAAATTTTCCAGGGGCGTATACCCCTTAGACCCCCTTATATCTGCTTTGCTCCACAGCTGCTGTGTTCCTCATTGCTGTGAGCAATGGTTGGCAGGTTCTGCTATTCTGTTTCAAATTAATTATTTTAATTGGCCAAACTGTTTTATAAAAATAATATCAAAGACAAACTATTTAATTTGGTAAATGAATGTGAGTAAATTGGCAGTGAGATTTAGAAAATTACACAAGGGGGCGCCACCTGGAATCTTACCTAGGGAACCAAATTGGCTGTTTCCATGCCTCAATGTACGGAACTAAAAATAATAATAAAAAAAAAACTCTGCCCAGCATTTTCTCAATTGATTTTAATGTGCGTTTTGTCACAAGCATACATTGTCACCTAATTTAGTGATGTGGAGACTGGGACCTGTATGGAAAAACATAAAGTCCTTTTTGTGCGTTTACAGGGCCACATGGGACGACCAGGTTCAGCTGGACCTCCTGGATCAAAGGGTGAAAAGGTACATCATCCCTCCTCCTTTTTTCCCTGTCTCTAACAGCTGACTGGGGTTGGATTGTGTTTTATGAGCTCTGGAGAAATGTTGCTTTGATGGTTTTTCCGATGCACCGAAACATGAATTTTGTCCCTAACTTGTGCTTCTTTCGTATGTCTTTGCGCCCTCACAATATTCCCAAAGTTCTCCTTAATTTGATGAGTGATCTGAACTTGGACAAAGCCGATTAACTCGGCACCGCCAAATGCATGCAATTAGACAAGCTCCTGGACTCCTATCCTCTGAATTTAGTAGAAATTAGCCACATAATTTGTGTTTATTTGACAGGAGCGCTGTGTAACGATACACACTGCACCAGACTTTAGTGATATACTAATTTGCATTTTTTTAGTCCCTGGGCAGAAGCCATCTGGATGTGGATATTTGTTGTTTTCTCATTGCCCGTATCCTCAGTCTAATTGCTGTGCTTCTGCTCTAATTAAATCAATATCGCACTATCACGCTCGCACATTGTTAAATTTATGATTGTCAATTTAGTGCCAGGTAATTGTCGTGCTAAAACTATGCTGTTGATACACATCTGAATTACATTTAATTGTGAATCACCAAAGATACAGTTTATTGCTTTTCATTCATACAATTGTTGGCTTTATTTATTTATTTATTTATTTTTAAATTTGGGGCCCCCGGCCGTCGCTAATTATCGTTGCTTCCTCTTCATATTAATCTCTGTGTTTATTTATTTATTTTGACGCATCCGCAGCTCGTAACTTTATGCCTATTGTTTAATGAATCTCGTGAAAAATTCTTAAGCAAACGCTGACTCCATTTATGTGAAAATGGATCATTGTGAGTAATAGCTTGTTTATTGATTCGTCATTCATATAAAGACAGTGGACAATGTGTTTCAATGAAACATGTAAAACATGCTTTGTTTCTGCTTTGTTTGCCAAGGGAGAACATGGAGATGACAGTAAGGCAGAGGGCCTTCCAGGTCCCCAAGGTGACAGAGTGAGTTTCTGACATGCACTGTGTTTTTGTACCATTTGTTGGTGATGATCTGGATTATTAAACTGTTGTTTTTCTCTCATTCAGGGTCCTCCTGGAGTCAGAGGAGAAAGAGGAGAGCCAGGTGACACGGGACACTTTGTAAGTGTGGAAACAAATCTGTTACATTGCTTATAAAGTACGAGTGAAATTACAGGAAATGCGTCTTTTTTCAGGGTCAAACAGGCATCAGTGGACTGAGGGGTGAAACTGGGGCTCCAGGTCTTCCTGTAGGTATTCTGGTTCCTAGAATCTACAGCTCAGATTTATGTTTTTATACAGAAAACTGATCAAAAATCTGAAACATTAATGATCATTTCAGGGACATCCTGGGACTAAAGGACAACCAGGACTGAAAGGACCCAAAGGCGATCAAGTAAGAACGAAAAGCTGTTTCAAAGATACTTTGAGTCTTAAAGATATTTATTCTGCAGTTATTTTTTTATACTTCAGGGTTTGAAAGGAAAACCAGGACCAGCAGGTGCATCTGGAACCAAAGGACCACCGGTGAGTTGGATGTGTTTCTTGCAGTTAGACTTTGAAACACTAAAAAGCAAGTATGAGGTGCCGTTTGTAAAGTTATACAGTCAATAATTACCACCAATATTTTTGTTTTATATAGCCTTTTATACGAAAAAAAGAACAGATTTATTTTTCAAAGTCAGTTTTTCACCATATGATTCATACCTTTATAAATGTCATCGTTTATAAAACTAAATATTTAACTTACAAATTAAATATTTAGTTAACAAGCTAAATATTTAACTTCTGACTTAAATATTTAGTTTTGAGCTAAATAATTAGCTTGCAACTTAAATATTTAGCTACCAACCTAAATATTTAAGTTAAATATTTAGGTAGCTACCTAAATATTTA